TAAGGAGCTTTTATGTTGGAAGCGACACTAAAGCAGCCACTGTCGGAATCTTCTAGTGACTAGAGGAGCCATGTCAGAGGGGCTCAGTCACAGACAGAGGTTTGTGGACTTGAACAAACTCTGAGGGAATACGATTTTACGCACAAGCAGCTCATCTTCCCATCACAGTATTATACCTATTATGTTGCTTTAGGCACTGTTATCTGTGCCAGATTACCCTGTGGTTTTTGCTGCAATGGACTTAACAAAGCAGCACCTCTGGAACAGAGGAAGCAGCCTTAGACCAAGTGAAGCTGTTGGTCCATATAGCTCTACTGCACTGGGTGACCAGCTGCAGATCTCTGGGAGTTCAGATAGGAGTCTTTCTTTCCAGCCGTACCTGATGCATGGATTGGACCTGGGGGCTTTATCATACAAACATGTGCTCTGCCACTGTGCTATATCCTGTGCATAACTGCAAACATTTGAGTTTGCAGAGAAATGTCAGACATTTAACCCTATTGTTTACTTTTTTTAGGACCCATGTACCGACAGGACTGCCTCTCCTGGTATGCCCCGCAGAGGACCTTAAGGTCCACAAATGACAACATTTTGGAGGTCCCAGGTCGCAAGGTGCTTAGATTGGTCTCAACTAGGGCCAGGGCCTTTTCAGCACTGGCCCCGACTTGGTGGAACGCTCTGTCACAAGAGACTAGGGCCCTGCGGGACTTGACATCTTTCCGCAGGGCCTGCAAGACAGAGCTGTTCCACCTGGTCTTTGGTTTGGACTCAGTCTGACCCTTATGTTTCCCTCCCCTTAAGGTTTTGGTTTTGATTTATGGGCTACTCTTAAAATGAGGCTGCATTTTAAATTGTATTTCCTATTATGTTTTTCGTGTAATTTTACTGGTGTTAGCTGCCCTGAGCCCAGCTCTGGCCGGGGAGGGCGGGGTATAAATAAAATTTATTATTATTATCTGCAGCAAGGTATGTGGTGTTTGTGATACACATCAATAGATGTGCGTACGTGTGCGCACACAGTACACTCATGGTGGCATTTGTCTGTCTGTCTCTCTCTCTCTCTCTCTCTCTCTCTCTCACACACACACACACACACACACTCATCTGGCATCTACAAGTTTGTTGCACTGTTAGATGACCAACTCCAGGAGGAAACATAACCCTGAGAATTATCCTGGACCTCTCAGTGGCTTTTGATGTCATTGACCATGGCCTATTTCTGGATCAGAAATATATGTCTGCAGACATTTTGCTCCAGTGGATCCATTCCTCTTAGGCTGGATCTATGAGATGGTGCCATTGGGTTAATTAGCCAGATAAACCGCTATCTGACTTTTAGAAGACATATGAAGGCAGCCCTGTTCAGGGAAGTTTTTAATGTTTGATGTTGTTTTGCATGGGTAGGCAACCTAAGGCCTGGGGGCCAGATGCGGCCCAATCGCCTTCTAAATCTGGCCCATGGACGGTCTGGGAATCAGCGTGTTTTTACATGAGTAGAATGTGTCCTTTTATTTAAACTGCATCTCTGGGTTATTTGTGGGGCATAGGAATTTGTTCATTTTTCCTCCAAAATATAGTCCGGCCCCCCACAAGGTCTGAGGGACAGTGGACCGGCCCCCTGCTGAAAACGTTTGCTGACCCCTGTGTGTATTGTATTTTAATTCGTTGGAAGCCGCCCAGTGTGGCTGGGGGAACCCAGTCAGATGGGTGGTATATAAATCATAAATCATATTCTTATTATTATCCTTTTCTACAAGCAGCAACATTCACTTTACTGTATTGCTGTATGGGTGCCCAATTTTCACTTCATGTAAAGTAGTGAGAGAGGGCCCTGCCTTATTGTTGCACGTTACCGATAGCAATGTAAATAGAAGGGGAAATGCTATTTAATATGTAGTGAAAAATCAGGCCTCAGGTCTCAATGACCACCCCTCTCAAATAAAAACTGAATAACAAGATTTATTCCACACATGGCATGCATATTTTGTGCTATCCTTCCTTGTATTTTCCATGGTGAATCCACACATTATTTTGTATTGAACCCTCTGGGGACCAAACTGGGCAAAAGGTATGAAAGTTCATAGCCCTAAATGCTTACATGGAGTACAATATTTGATATTACAGGTTTTCCTATCCACCCCCACCCCCCAATGCAGAAGTTTTAACTCAAGGTCTGGAAGTAATTCCCTACATAGTTCTGGGGGACAGGACACAAAATTACTTTTCTTTGCACGTTTCAGTTCCTCACAGCCTATCAGGTGGTATTCAATTAAGTTTTATTCAGAGCAGACACATTAATTCATTTCTTAGAATTTACTCTGAATAAAACTTAGTTGTCTACTACCCATTGAGTCCATGTCAATATTCTTGAAGAGGACTGCACGGTCTCCACCACTGTTTTGATTCATCGAAGAAGCTGTTCTACAGACAGTAGAAATTTACATTTTTATTTAATCTGTAGAAAAATATGTCCTTTTATTACGTCATTGTGAGACAGGGGTTCAGAAGACAGAACTCACTAATAATAATAAAGGCTGTGATGGAATAAAACCTATACACTGTGTTTGCCAAGTAAATTTTTATGCAAGTTTAAAAATCACCTTTTTTTTTTGTTTTGTTAAACACATCACAACTTAACTTTGTGTTCAATGAAACAATAAAGTGTGACGTCCATTTTTACCCACTGGAAACCGAACTATTCAGTAGCCAGGAATCTTCCAATGTTACAGTAACCTCACCCAAAATTATTTGCTGAACACACTGTTGCCATGTTATCATTTAACTTGCCCCCTGGATTTTTTCTTCTTTTGACAAAGTCACACATCAATAATTGGAGATCTGTTGGCGAAGTTTACTGCTTGAACTCCAGCAAGTTGCAAAACAGTGTTAATGGGAACATGGTCCAACCTGTTCTGGTCAAGGTGCACGTGGTGGATTTCATTCCCTGGGGGGTTAAAAAAAAACAAGCCTGTTACTGCCTATCTACAAAATATTGCTACCAATATTCACAATCACCTATCTTTTCAGCCAATGCGGTCTGATGCCTTGGTTGTCGGATACGGAAGCTGGTTGTTCATATTCTCAGAGCCGTCTTTCCCAAACGGCTTAGTGGCTCATTGTGCCAGGGCGCTGGTCTCTCAGGGGCGCCCCAGCGAGTGGGGGAGCTGTGCAGCTTTTCCGGTGGCCTCCCCTTTCCCTCCTGCATGCCCGCCAACTGTGCCCCATCAAACATATGGCTGGCGGGCGTGCAGCTTGCCTCCCAAGCCTCTGCAGCGGCATGGGGGAGAGTTGCGCACCCCCCCTATGGCTGGCAGTGTGCAGCTTCACCCGCCCCATCCATGGTAATTTGGGGGCGCTGAGTGGATATTTGCACGCCAGCGCCGCATCTGCGAAAGATGGCCCTGCATATTCTATATCAGCTATGGATATTTTTTTTGGGGGGGGAATACTTTCCAGATGACAAAACGCCTCATTTACTGATTGCTACATCAGCACAATGACCGTCATATACAGTGGTACCTCGGGTTAAGAACTTAATTTGTTCTGGAGGTCTGTTCTTAACCTGAAACTGTTCTTAACCCGAAGCACTACTTTAGCTAATGGGGCCTCCCGCTGCCACCAGAGCACGATTTCTGTTCTCATCCCGAAGCAAAGTTCTTAACCCGAGGTACTATTTCTGGGTTAGCGGAGTCTGTAACCTGAAGCGTCTGTAACCCGAGGTACCACTGTATGTGCTCAAACTAGGAGCAGAGGGGAGAAACCAGAAAACTTCCAAACAGCACAAAACACGCGCGTCCCCCAATAACCACAGAAACACCACCAAAGCCCACCAGTCAAGGACTGTGCTGTTGATGACACCCACATGCAACCCACTCACAACAACGAATTTGCAGCAATGTAGGCATGTCCCCAGCACAACTCCCTGTACCACAAAACAGGAGGTTTCCTCCCACTGCCGCAAGTTCAAATCTCCCCCAGCTGGAGAGCTCAGTTGGTTCGAGCATAGTGCGGATTAATTCCAAGCTTGCAGGTCTGATCCATGCAAGGGACAGCTGTATATTCCTGCACTGTGGGGGGTTTGGACTTCCAACTATCTAGCATCATTTCTTGAGCATAGCACATTAAGGAAAGGAAGGAGAGGTCACACAACAAAATAACCACATAGCACCAGGGCCAAGTCAGAAAGAAGGCCCATTAACGTCATTGATAGTTGTGAAGTGGGGAAGAAGAAGAGTTTGGATTTGATATCCTGCCTTTCACTCCCTTTAAGGAGTCTCAAAGCGGCTAACATTCTCCTTTCCCTTCCTCCCCCACAACAAACACTCTGTGAGGTGAGTGGGGCTGAGAGACTTCAGAGAAGTGTGACTGGCCCAAGGTCACCCAGCAGCTGCATGTGGAGGAGTGGGGAAGCGAACCCGGTTCACCAGATTACGAGACTACCGCTCTTAACCACTACACCACGCTGGAGGGTACAGATTGGCTGCTCTCCCTCCACCCATTAAATCCATGCTATCTGGTGGTAGCATGTTTATCTGCTAAGTTCCTTAAGTGTGTGCATGTGTGAAATCTCAACGGTATGAAGAAAAGGAGACAAGTGCTCGGACACTTTTCATCAGTATATCCAGGAGCACAAATGCATCATGTAAGCAAAACCAAGGCAAAGGTTAATTTTAACAAACAGCTTTACCTGGACCTAAAATCAAAGTGCCCCCCTGCTGAGCTGGATCTCCTTGAAAATCAAATGCAGGGCTCATCATTGCTCTCCACATGCTCTTGATGCTTCCTGACAGCAGGTTGGATTTTACATGAGGACTTTGCACTGCAATGGTATGATATAGAAGAGAAAGCGTACTTTGCATGAGAAATTAAGTTTGCTCTGCAGATCTTGCAAGCATATCTGGCTACAATCTATGCACAGTTTTGTGCAAGTCAGTCAGCTGGAATTAATAATAATAATAATAATAATAATAATAATAATAATTTATTATTTATACCCCGCCCATTCTGGGCGGCTTCCAACAAAATATTAAAATGCAGTAATCCATCAAACATTAAAAGCTTCCCTAAACAGGGCTGCCTTCAGATGTCTTCTAAAAGTCTGGTAGTTGTTGTTCTCTAAATGTGCTTAGGAGAGAGCAAGACATTTGACTATCCAATAAGAAAACGGAAGTGATCGGACTGAGGAGGAAAAGCAGAAATTTCTCTACTCATAAACCAACAACAACAATGGACTTTTCCTTCTAAGGCCAGCTACCTTCCCACCCAAGCCTAACAATGCAAACCTGTCTTTGTGCTTACTCCGAAGTCCCAATGGGACTTAAAGGTAAAGGTAAAGGGACCCCTGACCATTAGGTCCAGTCATGACCGACTCTGGGGTTGTGGCGCTCATCTCGCTTTATTGGCCGAGGGAGCTTCTGGGTCATGTGGCCAGCATGACTAAGCCGCTTCTGGTGAACCAGAGCAGTGCACGGAAACGCCGTTTACCTTCCCGCCGGAGCAGTACCTATTTATCTACTTGCACTTTGACATGCTTTCGAACTGCTAGGTTGGCAGGAGCAGGGACAGAGCAACCGGAGCTCACCCCGTCGCGGGGATTCGAACCGCTGACCTTCTGATCAGCAAGTCCTAGGCTCTGTGGTTTAACCCACAGCGCCACCCGCGTCCCGGGACTTACTACCTAATAATACCTAATGGGACTTACTACCTAATAATTGTTTAGGATTGCAGCCTTCCTCTCTTGTTCAGTTTTCAAGTAGGGTGACTTATGCGAGAATAGGAATCTAACGCAGACTGCTAGAAAAAGTATTACGTAAATTGTTTCTCTGTAAACCCTACAGTCCCAATGATTCATAGGGGAGCGAATCCAGATGCAAGGTTATCGCAAAGCACTGCAGCTATGAAGGGTCATTCTGCATATATTTAAGCTCTAATTGGATTGTCACAGACTGTATTTTTTCTATTCAGTTGTCATTTAAGTCCAAGCTTAAAACACACACGCCCTCTACACACATGTTGATATATAATCCATCAACAAAGGATCACACTGCTTTTATGCTTTCCTCCTTACCTGGGTTGCGCAACAGCACCCGTGAGATGGCAGCGATAGCAGGTTCTGGCAAAATCCACGATATGTCACTGAAATCTCTTGTGAGATTTCAGTAAGATTTGGGGGGATTGCAGTGAGCTCTCACAAGAAACCAGGGCTGCTGCTCCAGGGGAGGCAGTGGGGCTGGTGGGGGGCGTGTGTCGTTCAGGGTGCTGCCTTCATGGGCTTCCACCACCCGAGGCAACTGCCTCAGCCCCTCATGGCTGGGTTGGCCCCAAATCCACACCATATAGTTAAAGCACATTTATACTACTTTAACAGAGATCTGGGAGCTGTAGTTTACTTACCACGGAGCCACAAACTACAGTTCCCAGGATTTTTTGGGGGAAGCCATGTGCTTTAGATATGGTGTCATATGGAGGTGGTTGGAGGATGGATGGCGGCTAACGGACTGAGGTTGAATCCTGACAAGACAGAAGTACTGTTTTTGGGGGACAGGAGGCGGGTGGGTATGGAGGACTCCCTGATCCTGAATGGGGTAACTGTGCCCCTGAAGGACCAGGTGCGCAGCCTGGGAGTCATTTTGGACTCACAGCTGTCCATGAAGGTGCAGGTCAATTCTGTGTCCAGGGCAGCTATCTACCGGCTCCATCTGATATGCAGGCTGAGACCCTACCTGCCCGTGAACTGTCTTGCCAGAGTGGTGCATGCTCTGGTTATCTCCCGCTTGGACTATTGCAATGCGCTCTATGTGGGGCTACCTTTGAAGGTGACTCGGAAACTACAACTAATCCATAATGCGGCAGCTAGACTGGTGACTGGGATCTAGCACTGGGTATAATCCTTAGTTCTTCATTGCCATAAGTGATAAACCAGTTGTATGTTTTTCTGTGAGTATGGAGGGGAAATTGCTTGTGATCTATAGTTCCTTACGTGACTACATTTTGTGCTGTGACCTCTGCGTTTACAGTTGGTACCACAACTGTTGTACCTGTTGTAGCGGATGCTTCACCCCTTTTCATCCCAAGCGTCCTGTAGATTTCCCTTTCAGGATCCACATACATTTCATGAGGATAATCTGTCAAAGTGCAAAATGGCTGCAAGAAACATTTGTAAATATCAAAATAATGCATTGGAAAGCTGCCCAGAGTGGCTGGGCAACCCAGGCAGATGGGCAGGGCAGAATAATAAAAATTATTATTACAGTGGTACCTCAGGTTACATATGCTTCAGGTTACAGGCTCCGTTAACCCAGAAATAGTACCTCGGGGTAAGAACTTTGCTTCAGGATGAGAACAGAAATGGCGTGGCAGCAGCAGCAGGAGGCCCCATTCGCTAAAGTGGTGCTTCAGGTTAAGAACAGTTTCAGATTAAGAACGGACCTCCGGAATGAATTAAGTACTTAACCCGAGGTACCACTGTACTAACTACTTGGAAAACGAAGGCTGCACATGTGTGGGGGGGGGTCCAGTCTCACTACATTCAGTGGGACTCATTTCCAGGTCAGTGTATTTAGGACCAGAGAGTAATTCTGATTTTGAAAACCTTCAAGTTCCACACTTAAAATGCAGCTATCCCTGTGGGCTTAGATGTGTGTATTCAAGGAAAAGTTCCTCTTTGGTGGGACTCTACAGTTTCCCCTCAAGGACACTTACAAATAAGTCCACTGGAAACCAATCGTCCTTATTCACGTATATTTTAGTAATGCTATACAGTGGTGCCCCGCAAGACGAATGCCTCGCAAGACGGAAAAACCGCTAGACGAAAGGGTTTTCCGTTTTGAAGTTGCTTCGCAGGACGAATTCCCCTATGGGCTTGCTTCGCAAGACGAAAATATCTTGCGAGTCTGGAGATTTTTTTTGCTTTCCCCCTTTATCTAATCTGCTAAGCCTTTAATAGCCTTTAATAGCCTTTTAGCAGCTAATCCCTAAGCCTTTAAGCCTTTAATAGCCGCTAAACCGCTAATAGCGCTAATAGCGCTAATCCGTCAATGGGCTTGCTTCGCAAGACGAAAAAACCGCTAGACGAAGACTCTCGTGGAACGGATTAACTTCGTCTTGCGAGGCACCACTGTATTAGACAAACAGAAGTAGTAGCATCCATGCTATACATTTAAAGCACACTTGTGCCAACAGACTTGGTTTCCTCCCAAAGGATACTGGGAACTGTAGTTTGTTAAGGGTACTGGGGGTTGTTAGAACACCCCAAAAAACTATTATTCCCAGCACCCGTAACAAACTACAGTTTCCATGATTCTTTGGAGGAAGTTGTGACTGTTCAAGTGACATAGAGCGCTTTTAAATGTATCATGCAGATATGAACATGGCTCATATAACTTTTCTCTTTATTTATTTAAGTGCAAACCTATACAGTGGTACCTTGGGTTAAGTACTTAATTCGTTCCGGAGGTCCGTTCTTAACCTGAAACTGTTCTTAACCTGAAGCACCACTTTAGCTAAGGAGGCCTCCCGCTGCTGCTGCGCCGCCAGAGCATGATTTCTGTTCTCATCCTGAAGCAAAGTTCTTAACCCGAGGTACTATTTCTGGGTTAGCAGAGTCTGTAACCTGAAGCGCATGTAACCCGAGGTACCACTGTAAAGCCACCAAGACTTACTTCTTAGTAGATATGCACGGGATGGCACTATTATTTATAAACTTTAAATCCCACCTCATTGCCCAATACTTGAAGGCAGTTTTCAATAACAAAATTAAAAAAATAAAATAATAATAACGTAATATTGCAAAAGCAGTAAAAAAAAATATTCCACAGCTTTGGTGCCACCTGAAAACAACAACACTTCTCTGTGGTGCCCTCCAAAGATGTGGGCACCTGGAGAAGGGCTTCTGATGCAGACCTTATTTCAATCTGCTCCCAGGTATAGATGATGCCAGTTACATCAGCACCTGCTGCACACTGGTTGTGAAGAGAGAGGGAAATGCACAAAACTCCATTTACCAGTTTGTTTCCCTGTGCCTGCTCAGAGGTGAAATGAGCTGAGTTCAGAATATGCCAGTAGAATAACTCCGACTTACATGGACCTACCTTAATGTGATGGTGTGATGATTGTCCAATAACCACAAGTCTGACATTTGCATCCTACATGGGGAAGGTGTCGGGGGAAACACACAAAAGTATATATAAATCTTTAAACTGCAGCTAGTACTTACAACACGTTCATTGTGGCAAGATAATAAATGCTTAAGATGGACCTCACAACAGCTATGCCATCAGTGTCTCTTAAAATGGGATGATATGATGGCAATTTACAGTGATGATACAACGGTGCAAGAATCAGATAGGACGGCAGAAATGTTTTTGGATTGTGCAGCCAATTCTGGAATGTTATTAATTACAGTAGTGATTAGTTTTCTAGACTGGTTATTTGAACATAACCTTTTTAGTGCTGATTGGCACCATTTCTCTGTAACCCTGTACAGTGGAGCCCCGTTCAGGATTCCTGAAGCATAGGCCTTTTCAGCTTTTTAAGGAATTTCCTCTTTACAGAAGAGGTTGGGGGCTGATGGTGGTCTACATATTTATCACAGGAGTTTCCTCTGAAACCTCACCTGTCTGTCTGTCTGTCTTTTTTATTCTGTTATTATTAATATAACAAATTAGTGCATACGTATTCTTGCAAACCAAGAAGGAACTATGTTTACGATGGTGATTCTTTGGCTTCCAGAGTGCTCAGCTGGATATTTAAAAAGAATGACAGAAAGCATGAAGGAGAACAAATTAATCAGTGCATGCATTATAAAGTAATTGAAGATATATGTAAATACTGTATTGACTTCACAATATAATACTATTTTTTTTTATAAAAAAGAAACTTACTTACTTGTAAAAATGTCTTGGGAATTTTGCCCAGATCCTCCACATATTCCTTACAGGCGTAACACAAGAAATGCTGAAGAGAGACGATGAGGAGTGTCAGAACAACTGTAATAAAAGTGTTGAGATCTCAAAATTGGGGGGTGGGGGAGGCATAGGTAAGTACGCTGAGGCTTAAATAGCATAGATCAGAAAGCCATCTATAGTAGAGTTGGCAGCTGGGAGGTCTGGATCCATCACACTGCTTTTAATGATTTCATACCTGTTCACTCAAAGGTCAGAGCATCAAAAAACTAAAAGGAAGAAAAATCTTCTTTTGGGGGGAGGGCTAAGAGATAAAGATAATGGTGTGATTTCTAGGAGTTTTGTACACAGCCCATTATGTTTTTTTCTTTTCTTTTCCAGAACAAAACCAGCAAGTCCTTTATTTACTAGGTGGAACGGCAGAAAATCTCAGGTGAGCGAATTAAAATTTCTTTAATTTGGCTACAGCCCTGTTGAAAAGAGAAGTCCCACCCCTTATTTAGAATTATTGTTTCAGTCATGAACAAACGTGTTGCGATTGGATCCATTACAACTCGGGAAGCGTGATCAAGATAAGATTCCTTTCCTCTTGGGGAAACCTTTAGTGATCAACCACTCCACTGCAGTATGTAGTAAGAGCGCAACGCTATTGAAGCGCGATCCTTGCCACGTGTCTACGAAGAAAACAAAAGCCCTACTGAATTCAACAAGGATAAGTCCCAGGTAAATGGGGTGAGGAATGCCTGCGTAAAACGAATGTGCATCGGACGGCCCGGTTTCCTTCAAGGCCTCGGCTGCAATCCGGACCGCGATCGCAGCTTCCGATTTCCTGTCTGCAAGACGAAACGAAAGTCTTGCAAAAAAGCGCAAGGCTTTTTAAAGTTCCCTTTAAAAACGAAGCACTTTTTGGGGGGTGGATCTCCCACCTCGGCTTACCCGCACAAACACCACGATCGCCTTCCGCTCCCGGTACAGGGATCCGAAGGGAACCGCTTTCCCGGACGCGTCCACCACCAGGCGCCGGGCGGCGTCTCGCAGCTCCACGGGCGCATCGGCGAGGGGGCGAACCCGGGCGCCCACTTGGCGCGTGACGGGCAGCGGGGGCCCCGGGGCGCCCTGGCCCGCCATGCTGGGACCCAGGGCAGGGAGGCGGAGGGGGGAGGCCGGCCGGGGCGGAGAGCCTGAACTCCTTCCCTTGTTTTGGGCTGGGGAACTCCGCCCAGAGGAGGGAAGGGAAGGCGAGGGCAGCCATCGGGGCGCTTCGCCATGTTTCCATCTGCGCCAAAACAGGCTAAGTTCTCCTGGCGCAAGAAATGGCTAGGCGTCACGTTAGGAGGACTTGTGTGAGTGTCTGGAGGTGGTTGGAGGATGGATGGCGGCTAATGGATTGAGGTTGAATCCTGGCAAGACAGAAGTACTGTTTTTGGGGGACAGGGGGTGTGCGGGTGTGGAGGACTCCCTGGTCCTGGATGGGGTGACTGTGCCCCTGAAGGACCAGGTGCGCAGCCTGGGAGTCATTTTGAACTCACAGCTGTCCATGGAGGCGCAGGTCAATTCTGTGTCCAGGGCAGCTGTTTATCAGCTCCATCTGGTACGCAGGCTAAGACCTTATCTGCCCGTGGACTGTCTCGCCAGAGTGATGCATGCTCTAGTTATCTCCCGATTGGACTACTGCAATGCACTCTACGTGGGGCTACCTTTGAAGGTGACTCGGAAACTGCAATTAATCCAGAACGCGGCAGCTAGACTGGTGACTTGGAGTGGCCGCCAAGACCATATAACACCGGTTCTGAAAGATCTTCATTGGCTCCCAGTACGTTTCCGAGCACAATTCAAAGTGTTGGTGCTGACCTTTAAAGCCCTAAGCGGCCTCGGTCCTGTATACCTGAAGGAGCGTCTCCACCCCCATCATTCTGCCCGGTCCAGCGCCAAGGGTCTTCTGGCGGTTCCCTCACTGTGAGAAGTGAGGTTACAGGGAACCAGGCAGAGGGCCTTCTCGGTAGTGGCGCCTACCCTGTGGAACGCCCTCCCAGCAGATGTCAAGGCAATAAACAACTATTTTACTTTTAAAAGACACCTGAAGGCGGCCCTGTTTAGGGAAGTTTTTAATGTCTGATGCTGTATTGTTTTTGATATTTGGTTGGAAGCCGCCCAGAGTGGCTGGGGAGACCCACTCAGATGGGTGGGGTATAAATAATAAATTATTATTATATATTATATTATATGGGAGCCCTTCGGCGTTCCCCTCCTCGGTCTTCTCTGCGTGGAGAATGTGTGGCTTTTGCCCTGTAATAAAAAATTTAAGGTCTTCTATATATAATAAATGTTCATCAATGTACCAACCACCCGCACTCACCTTTCCCCCCCTCCACCTCTTTCCCCCTTCCTAATGTCTCAACAAATGAAACTGATCTGTAAAAAATGTTACATGGAGAAAAGAGAGAGACATTGCACATACTTTTGTAAACCAAGGAAATCTTTAATAAAAATACATTTTTAAAAAACCCAAGCGCATAAAGAAATGTGTGTTGATGGGGAAAGTCTGAATAGAATACGATATATATTTTTTAAAATAGAAAAATGTATGGTACAGTGTTAGTGGAAATTACTTGCAATATTGTGTCTGTTTTAGGAAGAATTGCATTTTTTAAAAAATGTACCAACCAAGCACGTACATATATGTGGACCACATGTCTGGAGCAGCACAGGAAGACCGCCCTGAAACCATTTTGACTCCCAAACTGACCAAATGTTTTCTCTGCAAGGAGGGAGGGGGTGAGGGAACCTTCCCATTGTCTCAGGAACTGGGTAATCACCATCTCAAAGGAATGGGCAGACTACCAGGAAAGGCAATCAGATAAAGCATTATCTGATAACCTAGCAGACAGGAAAAATGACAACATTCAAATTTCTGTTGTAGACCACCTTTTCTGTGATGTATGTATGATTTATGGAGGGGTGGTCTTGAGCTCCAGGACCGGGAAATTTAAAAGGGCAGGCACACCTCCCCACCTTTCACAGCTCAGGTGGAATCTAGACACATATAAAAAACGCTGTGAAAATGATTTTTTAAAAAATGTTTTGAAAAATATATTGAATTTGCCAGGAGCTCACCATCGCCATCTAGTGTCATGTTTGTATAATGCACTTAAAACACACTTGTATAACCAGTTAAAAAGGCAGTGGTGAGGTGACGGCAACAACTAGGGGTGAGGGGAGACTTGCCTGAGCTGCCCACCTGCTATGCTCCGGCATGCACACTCAGCCACCAGTGTGGTGATGAATGAACGCAAATATAGTGTAGAGAAAAATCCTCTTGCCAGTGATGAATTAAGATTCAATGCTCATTCCGGCCAGTTTCTTTAGGGAGGGAGAAATAACATTTTTGCTTCTTCACCCCAGAAGCAGAATTTCTCTGTTTGGGCCTTGCTGGATCTGCAATCTGATCTACGGTAACTCTGATAAGAGTTACTCTGAAACATGACCTCCATGACCAAAAGAATATTATCTAGAAATGGGCATTCCCACCCCGAAATTGCTGCATTTTATTATCCTGCTTTCCTCCCCTGTCGTCAAGGAGACTTGGAGTCCTGCTTGCTATGTGCGCCATGCACATTCCTGAATCTGTTTAGTAAGACCTGGATTGGCCCTCTGGAGATCTTATCCAATACTCCTGTTTAAAAAAGTGCTGCAGAACGATAATGTCAAAAAGATATGGGGCAATTCAGTGTAAACTTTATCAGTGAAAGGGACTCGTTGATCTTTGCAGTGAACACTAAAGAGAACAACTACAGCAAAATGAAGGCGAAATATTGTGCTTTAAAAATAGTGCTACTCCAGACCATGTGAATAAAATTAACTTAAATAAAACAAAAGAGTACAATAATTAAGCTCAGCTGACTCGGATGAATGTTTGGCGGTATCTGGATGCCTCAAACAAATTGCATTAGAGATAAGATTATTTGCTTAGAGGGAAATCCATTTAAATGATCCATATTTGAAGCATCCACTTGGAATGCACAAAATCCCACTATATCTTGCCCTTTCTAATTGGCTTCAGGAAATAAACCCACACACACACACACACACACACACACACATCAGCAAACATGGCTCAGTCACTTCTTACAAGGGGCTTGCGCAGTGTTGGAACGATTTCCTAACCCCTCTAGTTTAAAGTATCGTTAACTATTCTGTGATATCTTAACATGTGTGAAGCTAGGAAACTTTCTTCTCAACTGGTAATGAGTATTTGAACTGATAAAGATTCCTGTCATGGTCAGAACATAAATTAACTGTCTACTTTGGGGCAAAAGATATGAGATCTATGATAAGATGTGAAGGTCTAGTTCACAAACTATATACACAGGCTAAATAATAATAATAATAATAAATTTTATTTATACCCCACCCTCCCTGGCCAGAGCCAGGCTCAGGGAGGCTAACAGCAATAAAATTTCAGTAAAAACATAATAAGAAAATAAAGAAAAAGAAAAAACAAGTTAAAATACAAGTTAAAATGCAATATAAATGCAGCCTCATTTTAAAAGTCAAAACCATAAGGGGAGGGAAACATCAGGGTCAATATACACAAACTATATACACAAACTCTTTGTGTGTGTGTCTTGTGTGTGTGTGTGGTGATGAGCTGCAGATACAAATCTACGTGTGAATTTCTAAGAATCGGGAATTCTAACAGCTTCATCTAGAAGTTTGAGGACGTGGAGTCTTTTTTGGTTTTGCTATTAAAGAAACCATTGAGAGTCAAAAATCTTTGCAATTGCACATCAAGCCCCATTGTACTATGCAAGTGAAATTCTCTTAATCTAGCCCATCTAGTCTGCTGAATGCACATAACCCACAACTTTGTAGCATGCGTAGTGACATAGATGAACGTGCGTGCTTAACACATGCTGAACTATGAACAATTTTCACAGTTCTTCCTACACATACAGGTTTTTTTGTGTGCAGCAAACTGATTATTTATTTTTTCATTCTAATGTTTCCTACCTGCACTTCACCATAAAATCTCTGGGCAGGCTGCAATGATATAATATACAGTTATGAAGTGGATAATACAGTGGAAGACTGGATATTCAAAACTTGGAAGTTGTAAATATAAACTTAATGGATCTCGCCAGAGTAAAAGAAGGGAGGCAGCCTTAAAATTGCTTTGTGGGAAAGTGGAGTATGTATTAGTGCAACATACAGAAAATGCAAAATTATACATACTTTTAGAGATGTTATGAGTCACTTCAGTAGCTATGTATTCTGTTCAGGTAAACAGTATTGTTGGAATTTTTTTGTTATTCTCAGAATCACTTTTGTTTACTGTACGCATTTTTATATCGTTCATGTGTCTCTTCTTTGTTATTGTAATTACGTTTCCACTGGTTTGTACTTTGATTGATAACAACAACAACAAAAACCTATGATAAGAAAACAAGTTACAATTTTATATTTGTGTGTGTGTAAACTGATTAAGCCAGAACAGAAAAGTATAAATTCAGCAAACAGGTGGATCCCGCAGAACAAAGTGCCTTAACTGTTACTGGCTAGGCTAAAGAGGTGCATTTTTGGTATATGACAAAAGCTAGTGGGACGCGGGTGGCGCTATGGGTTAAACCACAGAGCCTAGGACTTGCTGATCAGAAGGTCGGCGGTTCGAATCCCCGCAACGGGGTGAGCTCCCGTTGCTCAGTCCCAGCTCCTGCCAACCTAGTAGTTCAAAAGCATGTCAAAGTGCAAGTAGATAAATAGGTACCGCTCCGACGGGAAGGTAAACGGCGTTTCCATGTGCTGCTCTGGTTCGCCAGAAGCGGCTTAGTCATGCTGGCCACATGACCTGGAAGCTGTACACCGGCTCCTTCGGCCAATAAAGTGAGATGAGCGCCGCAACCCCAGGGTCTGTCACGACTGGACCTAATGGTCAGGAGTCCTTTTTAAAAGCTATACAATGAAAATGTTAAGAGTTCACAATCTAAAGGCTGCTACAGAGAAAGCTCACCTTTACTCACACTTCTCATTCCCTTCTAATTATCTTAACACCTGAGAGGGATCATAGCGATGGAGGCAGTCTTTCGGATTTTGGGGACCTAAATCATTAGAGCTTTAAATACAGGAGAATGTTTGAAGTTATCCTGAAGCTCAATAAGGGATAATTCTTTTCCTAGTGTGTTCTAACATCTCACTGGATTCCACCCCACCCCCCTCATTTCCCCTCTCTCCAATTTGGTTCTATTTTTTAAAAATTGTTTATCTGCTGCA